CATGCCTATATACATCTCCTTCTTGACATATTCTATTCCAAGTTTTCTTTAATTTCTATTAAATTCTTTATTTACCCTCTCTTAGAACTTCTCCTATGTGGATAACACCGTAAACTAACATTAATATCAATCAACAATACCGAATTCCTTATCATAACCAAATTACCCTCGAGATTCGAATCCCATACCGCTCGTCCACCCTCCCTAACCCTCTCAATGCAGAATGCCATCCTAGCGGCCGCGATCATCAGTCTGGGTCATGTTACATGCTATCTCTAACTAATTTCTCGTGTCATAATTTATGGCAGTTTTTACGCCTCCCTCTCTACTTCTAAGGACAACTTCCTCAGCGGTGGCTCTCTCTCTCTCTGCCCGCTGGTCCTCTGATAACGACTCTACCATGTCTGACCTTCCTTCATCTCACTCTCTCTACTGTCTGTTACTGTACCCATCCTCCTCCTCATGTTCGGCCTCTCTCTTCCTCGGGCTCTAAGAGGACACTGCCCATCCTTCTCTCCCTGCGTATAGGTCATACTTTTCGAATGTTCTTAATACCTAAACCATATATACCCACCGTCGATCCTTGTTTTTATTTCCTTGCATACCAAGTGAAATGAACACTCGTTCCTCATCCTTCACATATATTCTAAAAGCCCTCTACTTCCTCGTCCCTCTGGGTAATGTTAGGATTTGAATTTAGGGATTTTGGATTTTTTTTACAGCTATTGTAGCCGCGCGATTTGGGGGTGCCAGGGCGGCCTCGTGCCATTTTTTTTGGTGTCACTGTTGATGTAACTCGAAAAAAATACTATCCTAAATCCCTAATAATAGCCTAAATGTAAAAAGGTTGTAAAGGTCATCATAATACTTTAATTGTACATATGTATGTGTGTGTGGTATGTATGTTAATTGTGTGTGTGTGTGTCTGGTGTGTGTGTGTGTTGTGTCTGTCTGTCTGTCTGTTCTGTCTGTCTGTGTGTGTTTTGTTATGCTGTAATGTTACTTGTTTGTGTGTGTGTCTGTTGTAGATCTGATATTACTGTGTTTGATGTGTTGACCACTACCAACAATAATACACAACATTCAACTGATTTAATTAATTAAAATATATAATAATATATAATTATATCATATTAACCATATCCACTTCATTCACTTATAATATAGCTATAACCTCCCTCTCTCTATTTCACTTTTAATTTAACTATACCTCCCTTACTCTTCGTATACTACAAAATATTAATTTTTTACTCATTCAATCTATCTCATCTCTCATACTATCTGTGCTCTCATTCTAATATTATTACTTATTCTCTTATATCATTACTCACTGTGTAATACAATACTATGTACTATCTCGTATTCTCATTCGCTTACTCTATCTCTCGTCTCTCTCTCTCTCCTCTCTTATACTTCACCTCTTCAATTATAGTATATATAAATATTACTGTAATATATCATATATATATATTGTTAATATATATATATATATATAGTGTGTGTAATAAATTATAGTATATTATAATAATTACCTAATTCTATTCATCACTCACCCTACATACACACATCCAATACCACCATCCATCTACACCACACCTACCTCCCATCACCATATTTATACCTCTACACTCTCACATACATACCATACCATATCACGCATCCATCTTCTTCACTATATCCTTCTACTCCATACACCATCCATCATACCCTCCACATCATATCCCTACTTACCTACATCACCTACCAATTCATCTCACTACACATCCATACTACCACCATCACACACACCACACAACCACTACCACACACACTACCACTACCTCACCACATCCACATATCCACATATCACACACACTCCACACTCACATCACCTCCTACCTACGCACTCCTCATCACATCATCTCATACTCTCACTCACTACACTCTACACTCCTCACCTACCCAACATACACACATAATATCCATCATACACATCCTATCCACTATCCTACCTACCACTCACTCCATCTCACTACACACTAAGCACTACTTCTTATCAATCTCATACATCACCAACACATCCACCATCTCTTACCATCCCATCCTCACCACACTACTACACTTACTCCCACACTCACCCTACTCCATACTCATTATCTCATACCTACCATTACCTCCTCCTCCATTCTATACCTCCTCTCATCTGCACATACTACTACTCATCTCATTCCTCTACCATCCTATACCTCTCCTCTCCTCCACCATCCTCCTATCCCTACTCTACTCTATCATTTCATTCCTCCATCAACATCTCTCTCACTCCCATCTCACACACCTACACACCACTACACCTCACTCTCCCACACACATCACATCCACACACACTCTACATCACTGTCTCTCCTCTCTCTCTTACTCACCATCTCTCTTTTCATACATCATCTTATCTATCTCTCTTCTCTCTTCTCCCTCTCTCTCTTACCTCTTTCCTCCTTATTTCTAATTATCTCTCCTCTTATTCTCCTTTACTCCCTCCTATTCAGTATATCCTATCTCAATATTCTATTATACTATATAATATTTATACCTATCTTCTCTCTTATACTATTATGTATATATATCAAACACCATATCGCATATACATTAATCTATTCAATAAAACATAAACATAAGCACAAGCACACATTATAATACATACATACATACATACATTACATGCATGCATACTAATACATACATACATTACATACATACAACATAAATACATATATATATATACATAATATGTAATACATACATACATAATATAATTTAATATAATAATATATATATAGTAATATATATATATATATATATATATATATGCTATACATACATTATACATACATACATAATTTATTGTATGTATATATGTTTTATATGATATAGATATATTTTTTCCCTTCAATTTTAACATATATTTAGATTGCACAGCAACAGCTTGATACTGACTATCATATTGGACGAGATCATAGACTTTCTAACACAGATCACAACACCTTTTTAGTAAATTTCGGGTAGTTATGAGAAAAAGGCCGTTGTAAGTGTCTTCTAAACATTTGACATATAAACACAGAATCCTTATATGTAAATGTACACATATATGCAAATATTATTTTTTGTATTTCAGTTTGATTTTTAGAAAGAATGCTCTTGTTGTCTCTTATCATGTTATGCTATATTCTTGTACAGTGATTTATGTGTGTGTGTCTAATATGTTTTACATCTGATTTCATGGCATAGATAGGGATAGTTGTTTATTTAAGTCCTGAAATCCACAGAAAGCTAGAGTTTGGTGGAGTTTTTAGACAGGTATACATAGTTATTTTTGTTGTTGTTGTTATTATTATTATTATTATTATTGTTATTATTATTATTATTATTATTATTATTATTATTATTATTATTATTATGGTTGTTCTCCCATGCTTTTGTTTTCAATACTTTTTCTTTTTCCTTCCTCCACACAGCTACGGAAGACTGTCTTCGACTTTGCGCAGAAGGAACTGGCCCCCAAAGCAGGAGAAATCGACAGAGAAAACAACTTTGCAGAGATGAGGGTCAGTTTAGGTGTAGCACACCTGTCCTTTTATGAATTTATTGATTTTATTACTTTAATTCTTGTACAGAGTGAATTAGAATGGTAGATGTAAATCAGTTTAATAAGGTGTATCCAGTTTATGCTGTAATATTCCTTTTGAATGATACCTGAATGACAAAGTTCTTTTTACATAGTCAGGGATATACCATTTTAAACCTTTATTAATGCGTTGATGTATGACTTTAATTTTATACAGCATGATATATTTACATATATTAATACACATACATATGAATATATTAGATTTGAAATTGTTAATGATATGTGTATATGTATCAGTAAGCATATACAGTATGTGATCTTACTGTATAGTTGAATATGCTTATCACAGGAATTTTGGAAGAAAATGGGCCACCTCGGATTGCTTGGCATCACGGCAGACCCAGAGTACGGCGGCTCAGGCATGGGGTACTTCGACCACTGCATTGTCATGGAGGAGCTGTCACGGGCTGCGGGTGGCATCGCGCTGTCGTATGGGGCCCATTCCAACCTTTGCGTCAACCAGATAATGGCCCCGGAGCCTAAAAGATTTTTATTTGGGTGAGGGTTTGATTTTGATTCTGGATTAGATAATGGGGTTTGCATAAGATCAGAAAACCTAGCTCGTTGTCACTGTGGGAGAGCTTAGGAGATGGGGACTGTGACCCATTGTAGAGGATTACCCCTACCTTGGGCCTCGGCCCTTGCCTCAGCTAATTTTGCTTGGTCCTTTCTTCTCTTCTTTCCTCTTCCATATCTTCTTTATTCCTTTCTTCTCTTCCCATTCCTAAGGTGTGAGAGCCGTGGTGAAAGGATGAAAGGCTGGCTTTGTTTCAGTCACGAATGGCCTCCAGGAGCCTTGGGCACGGTATTCCCTTGGTTAGTTACTTAGCCCTAACCCTTAATTTAGGCTAACCATGGCCAGTAATGAAGATTCTTTACCCTTAATAGAGGCATTAAGGCTGGCCCGTTCATCAAATAGCCTATCTGAATTTAATTTTGATGGTTTTCTGACCCCTGCCCCTCCTTTGACCACGGCTCCGACCACTGATGCTAATACCCCCCTCTTCGACACTTACGAACAACTCAAACTATTCTGAAACACCCTCCCAGGTTATTACTTAACCCCTAGAAAACACCTCTTCCTCATCCCCAACATTCTCCCCTGCTGCACAACCCTCTTCAGTGTCAACCCCCACTTCCCTTATTACTACTCTTCATCCTTATTGTCCTCCCCCCCCAGAACTACTCCACTCCACACCACCCCATCTTCCTCTCTCCCTCATCCTTCTACTACCTCTACCTCTGCAAACCTTCTGAATACTCTATTTGGCCCAGCCATGTGGGATCGATTCTTTGAGATTCCCCCCACAGCCCCTTATTCTGAGAATACCCTTCTCTTTCAGCAGTGCCTCCAGAAACGAGTAGGCAAGGTTACCTTTCGCAGTCATTCTGATCGTTCACGCCTAGTCACAGGTATATCTGAAGCCCAAGCTCGTGCACTATCTACCCTTACTGACCTTACTGGCAAACCCATTCTTGCTGAACCTCACCCAACTCTTAAAACTTATACTAACTGTTTCTATTCCCCCAAATGCTTGTCCCATGTATAACAAGGACTGGTCAGACTGAAAATGACCTACTTTCCTGCCTTGGTGAATATGATGCAATGGCAGTACAGTGTTACACTATTCCTCCTAGAGGCCAACATAAATCCCACGTCAGTATTGCCAAGATTAACTTCCATAGACAAGACCTCCTCCATGAGGTTTATATTGGTAGATTGTCTTATCAAGTCCAACAATATCGATCCCTTCCTCATCAATGTCGTTCCACAGCCCGCTGCCGTCTATGTGCCCAACCTGGTCATGACCGTTCAAATTGCCCTGCTCAGCCACGTACATGTGCCAATTGTGGAGACTCCCATAATGTGTTTTATAGGAGTTGCCCTGCCTATAAGTTTGAATGTGAGGTAGCAGTCCTCAGATTTAAACTAGGCCTCTACATGAGGCCAGACAGGAAGCATGACAAGGTTTTTCTCTCTCAACTTATTCCAAAACAGTCCTACACTCTGCTCCCCCACCATCTACACAAGATATTTCTGCATCTCCCCAGGTATCTTTTCCTATACCCAAAACCTACATCCCATGTCTACTCACCCTATCCACCAGTCAAATCCATTTTCCATCCTAAATCCAGATACTCCAATCTCTACCACTTCCTGGATACCTACCCCTACCTACCCTCCTCCTCACTTTAATTGTAACAGACAACCTAAACGTTCCACTCCACGCTCTCCTACTACATTCTCTCATACACCTTCCTCTTCATCTGTTCCTCAGATATCCCCAGTCACAGATACAATGCATCTCCTTTAATTGCTCTACCTTCTTAACCTTTCCCACTTATTAATCACTACTCTACTTCATTTACTTCCTTCCTTTCCCTTTCCATTACCATACTCTCCTACAACACCCTCTAATCTTTGATATCTAACATCCTCCCCTCTCCCTGGATTCTTCTCTTACTCTTCAACAGCTATCTCTATTCTTCCTTGGACATTTTTCCAATACTTTCCCCAGTGACAGATACACTGTAATTCACTCAATTGCCCTACCCTTCCGTTTATATTAATTTCTGCTCTAATTCACTTGCTCCCCTATTCCCCCTTTTCACTACCCTACTATCCTATAATGGTCTTAAACCATTGACATCAAACACATTTTATCGTAATCTTTAACTCTTGTTTGCCCTTTCCAATGCAATACTTTACCATAGTGCTACATGACCTTTGATGTCTAGCACATTTATTTTCAAACATTAATTAATTGATTAATTAATTAATTAGATCAAAATAAGAGTTTTAATAAAAATGATGATAATAATAGTAATAATAATAATGTTAAGACAATGATAATGATGATAATGAGTTGATTGGGGGATATCCTACTTTTCTTTTTCTTTTCTTTTATTTTATTTGAGGTTTTCCTTTTTCCCTTCTCCTCTTCCTTTTTATTTTCTTATTGTTTTCAAGATGTATGTGATTTTAGTTGATCAAATAATGCCTTTTTTATGGTTAAGAAAAAAGTCAGGAAACCACTTTTATAGAATGTGAAGTATTTTTTCAAGTTGATGAGTATAGATACACACCTGAGACTTCTGTATGGGTATGCGAGAAAAAATATTTTAAAGGTCTAATAGTTTGTAGGAGATATTTGATTTTTACCTTTTTGTGATTGTTGTTTTGGTATTTGTGTCTGTGTGTAAGGAAAATGAAAGACAGAGGCTGTTGACAAGAGTAAGGTATTTAGCCAGATTGTGACGTGGGATTTAGACGATTTGCAGGTAGAATTTACACAATATAAAGTTGAAGTAGAGAACTTGGCAATGTATATAACAAAGAAACTGTTGTATAATCTTTCTAATAGTAACAGAAAAGACAGCAGTAAGTAGAGGGACAATGGAAAAGGCGTTCTCTGGTTCTTATTCTCTATTATTCTCTATTATTATTCATATATCTGTCTTTTGTTACAGCTGTGTTCAGGAGAGCATGTAGGAGCTCTGGCAATGTCTGAACCAGGGTCAGGGAGTGACGTTGTGTCCATGAAGCTTAAGGCCGAGAAGAAGGGCGACTACTACGTACTGAACGGCAACAAATTCTGGATCACCAATGGGCCTGATGCTGATGTACTTGTGGTAGGTGGTGTTTGTCATTGTTGTTGTATTGTCAAATTACCTGATGTGAAATACATAATTTTTATTTTTTCTTCTTTATTTATTTATCTTTTGTCTTTCTTTCTTCTACTTTGGATATTTATGGTATTTGCGGATTGATTCTTGTAAGAGAAGGATGCGCAGTTGTGAGATCTGCTAAATGGTTTTGGAATAAAGACCAAGAAATTTTACCTTTGCACTATGTTCTAGTACATCATCTAAGTGGTTGCCTTTACACTGCCCACTCCGACAGGTCTATGCCAAAACCAATCCCACTGCCGCAAAAGCCCAGCATGGTGTCACAGCGTTCCTGGTCGAGAAGGGCATGGAGGGATTTAGCACTGCCCAAAAGCTAGACAAGCTGGGTATGCGAGGCTCCAACACGTGTGAGCTGATATTCGAAGACTGCAAGGTGCCAGGTAGGGAACTTCGCATGAACTTCGGGTGTGAGAGAAATTCTTTTTGTGTAACATGTTTCGGAAAAGATATGAGCGAGACTGAATGATTTTTTGAGGGTTGGAGTGTATGGCTAGTGTCTGAATATACTCAATCTTCATTTGATCTTCTAATTATGAGAGTATCAAAATCTTGATTACACATTTTACTTTGTTGGATTTTTCAGTCTATTTGAGCTTATTTCATTCTATTACACTCTCCATTTCTCTGCATTGTTTTTTTTTTTTTTTTCAACTGAGACTTGTTTGGAAATCTATTTAGCATAATCATTATAGCTTTCAAAAGGTGTGGGAATATGAAACTTATAGTTGTTTTTACATTATCTTTGAATAAAGTTTAGGAATTAAGGAAAAGTATTTGCAAGAGTGGAATGTAGGGGAAAGAAATGTGATTAAAGATATATATGTATATATATATTGGCATGTAATAACCTAAATTGCTGTAATGAACATCTTAAGGTTATTCTTCAGTGGGTGATTACAACTATAGTATCAAGTTCAGACTTAGTATTTTTCAAACCAGAAAAAGAAATATAAGTTGCCTTTTCCATCTCATAAACAGAAAGTCCCCCCCCAAAAAAAAAAAAAAAAAAAAAACTTGATTGTATATTCTCCATCGTATAAATAAGATCAGAAAAAGAAATAAAAATAAAAAAATTGATTTTATATTCTCCATCATTTAAAAAGTAAGCCCCCCCCCAAAGTTACACTGTAGTTACATGTACTCTACTTGTGTTTCTCAAACATTTCTGGAGGTGACACTTAACACCTTTTTGAGCCTGGGGATCCTAAAGGTTGAAATTTGACTACCTTGTTTCTTCAAATAGTGTTATTCAGTGAATTTTGATGGATTTTACTTTAAACTTTATACATTTTTATATTGATTATTTCTAATGTAAGTTAACTATTTTGTAAATACTTGTTTGTGATTATTTGCTTTCTTTTCTATTATTTTTGCTTTTTTTACCATGGTCATTCTTGCAACATTCATTATATTATGATTGTACCTTTTTTTTTTTTTTATTATTTTTTTTTTTTTTTTACCATGGTCATTCTTGCAACATTCATTATATTATGAGAGTGGGTTTGTGAGCCACTGCTTTATTCTTAGGAAGGATTATGAATATTATACCGTTTGTACTAATGACTGCAATCATCCTGATACAGAGAAGAACATGCTCGGCAAGAAGGATGGCGGCATCTACGTCCTGTTTTCTGGCCTTGACCTCGAGAGATTAGTACTGGCAGCTGGACCTGTAGGGTAAGCATATCCAGGATATTGACCTCTCAAGTACAATGACACCTCTTTTCTAACTATGGCAGTCAGGCAGTTATGAGTTCGGTACTGGGCGTCCTATAGGCCATACTACCTGAATTATTAGGACTGGCTTTGAAGGCTCGTTGGTCCTGTTTGACTCTACAAATTTTTTCTCCTCACTTAGGGATATTCTGTGATGAGATCCTGGTTTCATTTTGAACCTTAATATCTTGGTAAAGAGATTAAATAGAATGCTATTCATTTGGACTGCATCAGTTATTTTGCACATCAATAGTCTTTTGTTAGGATCGTGATATGAACCACATATCGATAAAGTAGTGAATATTGTGTTCCAGTGTTTTAAGGTCCTTTGGTCTGTTTGATACAGTGTCATTTTTTTCTTTCTTTTATTTTTCATTTTTATTTACAGAATTCTTCCCTTCTTGAAATGAATATATCTAATGGTGATGTACTGATACAGGTTGATGCAGGCTGCGTGTGATGTTGCCTTTGAGTATGTGCATGTGAGGAAGCAGTTCAACACAAGGATTGGAGAATTCCAACTGATGCAGGTTTGTTTTTTTATTATTGCTTTTATGCTCTTTGGATTTTTTGATACATTTATATTCTCTAAGTGCATGGAGGCATTTCCTCTTCCCTTTCATGCATTTTAAAACAAAAACATCCTAGCTGGTTTACATCTACAAACATTCATGCATGCTCACACACACATGCACCCACCTCCATGTATTATTTTTAGTCTATAAGTGTCTCAGCAAAGAAAAAAAAAAAATCTGTAACCACATCGATAAAGCATAGGATGAAACTTTCTCTTTTTTTTCAGGGCAAGATTGCGGATATGTACTGTGATCTGAATGCCTGTCGCGCCTACCTTTATGCAGTGGGCAGGGCGTGCGACAGGGGCCACTTCAGCAACAAGGACTGCGCTGGTGTCATCCTCTACTGTGCAGAGAAGGCTACTCAGGTCTGCTTGCAAGCCATCCAGTGTCTAGGTGAGTCTTGCAAGGGTTTTTGTGGAGTGGAATGGATTGGAATGACTGGAATTCATAGGATGGAATGCAAGGGATACGATGAAAGGGATGTAAATAAGGGGACAGGGTGTATGATTTAAAGGAATTCAGAGAGATACGACTTTGGAGATGTAATTCAAAGAACCCAATTTAAGGGATGTAATTCAAGAGATGCATTTTCAAGGGACATAACTGATACTTTATGAAGCACTAGATAATTAGTTCTGACAGGAATTGATTACCCAGGATTTCAATTTCTGGAACCTTTGAAGCACTAGTGTTTGGATTCTCTATTTTATTTAAATTGATGTCACTTTGTATCTTCAGGTGGTAATGGTTACATCAACGACTATGCAACCGGAAGACTTCTGAGGGATGCAAAGCTGTACGAGATTGGTGCGGGAACGAGTGAGGTGCGACGCCTTGTGATTGGCCGTGCTCTCAACTTCGAGTACAAATAGACTGGACTGACGCTAATTTTCTTCTTTTTGCTAATGAAGACGAAAGAAATGGAAAAACAGAGAGGGCCATTTGTATTTAGAACAATTATTGTGATATTTATATTTTTGAAGATTATTTCATAGATGTATATTTTTTGTTTTATGTAAGCAGTTGTCTCAGCTGATTGCCTTTGTACCTGATTCCAGCCTCTTGGTATATAAACTCAAGGAGGGTTAATAAGACGAGACACTCAGACTCACTTGTGTAGAGTCCACAACCTTTGAAAAAAGGCATTGTTCATTCACATTATAGATTGCATTGTAAGTTTGTTTTCCTTGTTCCAGTGATTTTTATTGTGCCATATAGAAAAGGAACAATTCTCAATATTTTAACAGAGAACAAAACAACTACTTGTAATTTTTCCAGTTGTACAAAACTAATTGTTCTTTGTATGGTATCCTCTCTTTAACTATTTAACTGATTACCTAAGACGAGAAAAACTTCCTTTGTATTAGAATCTTCAGTCAGATGTTTCATATTTGCTTGATCACCCCGATTCTTTACAAGATAGTATGGTTTTCTGTCACCCCTTGCTCAATAAAGCTTGCTCTGCCACTTCAGAGTACCAAGTTGAAGACTTCTTTTGGGTATTTTGTACTGATTAGAAAATAATTGGTATTTAATAGATGATGTAATTGGTTATTTACATGCAGTGGGAATAGTGGGGTCAGTCAGCCGTTAGTCTGGAGAAGGGCAAAGCTATCAAGATTGATATATCAATTAGAATTCTGACATTTTCATGTTTACTGGAATTGACCATATATTACAATTTTTTTATAATGGAATCAGACAATCTGAGTTAAATGTCAATTTTCAATTATTCTCTGATGCAGCTTAATCAAATGTTATTTTTATTATTATAATTATTATTATTATTATAATTACTCCAAATTAGGTAAGGTTCTGTATATGAGGGGGCACAACCAAATGATTCAGCAGTTAATAGGTGTTTTCTAGCCAGCGGGTTATAGCTTTCTCTGGTTGGGGTACACTATTAACTATCAAAATTTGCCAAATAAAGTATTTTGGTACCCTTTCTGTGCAACAGGGTCATAACTTCAGGTGCATTTGGTGATGCCGGGTCATGTACGATTAGACATGGGATCTGAGACTGTGGTTGATAAAATTCACTGAATTTATGATGTAAAATTACTGCTCACTGGTTTGTTAGCAAAGTTTTAAGAATGAAATTGTTAGTTACTAAAGATTTTTTTCTTGAATAAAACAAAATAATAACTGAGATTTCTTCAGAGTATGATTTGATATGAGATTATATTCATAACTACTATGTTTCGATGTGTGGCAACTAACCAGTATTAGCAATAGTTGGTTTGGAAACATTTGTATGTAATGTTCATATTTTTACTCACAAACCTTGTTTCTAGCTGTTGTTTTGAATCACTGTATTTTTTAAAAATCAGTTCTCGGTGACTTTTTTATATTACATACACATTTTGAACTGTTAGCTTTTTTAGACGATTTTATTAACATAGCACAATATTCAGTGGGTGAGAATCATTATTATACATATTGTATATAAACAAAAACAAAAGCATTCACAGCTTCCACTGTTCAGGGATAATAAAATGAATGTATATGTGCTTTTACACTGCTCAATGTGTAGGAAAAACAGATATGGTTTTGCTTGGTGATTTTGTTGCTTTGACATTATGAACTGTGGTCATCTGACAAATATTAAATTTTGGTTTATTCCAATTTAAATATATGTTATAAACTCATGTGTGAAAATTAAATAAGTGAAGCAGTAATTTAAAATATGACCGAAGGATTGGAGAACATGTGTCCTTACCATGTTAGTATATGTTATTTTACACAAGAAATAGTAGGGTTAGGTTGTGTTAAGTGTTCATGTAGAAATGTAGAGTCAGGGTGGAGATATTTACAAATTATTGGAATTAGTTTTGTAGTAAAATATAAATGAATATAGATTTTCATTGACCCTGTAATATTACTGAATGAATTAATCTTGAAGCAAAGGATTTTATATTAAATAATGGAAAAGTATTGAGTATTTTAAAGTTACTTTTGTTGGCCTTTGGGGGTGTTTTGCTTGTGTATCTCTCTCTCTCTCACTCTTTCTCTTGCTCTTTCTCTCTCTCCTCTCTCTCTCGTCTTTCTCCTTCTCTTTCTTTTCTCTTTCTCTTTCTCTCTTTCTCTTCTCTCTTTCTCTCTCCTCTCCCGTGCTCTCCTCTCCTTCTCTCTCTCTCCTCTCTCCTCTCCCTCTCTCCCTCTCCCTCTCCCTCTCCCTCTCCTCTCCCTCTCCTCTCCCTCTCCCCTCCCTCCCTCTCCCTCTCCCTCCCTCCCCCCCCCTCTCCCTCTCCCTCTCCCTTCCCCTCTCTCCCTCCTCTTCTCTCCCCTCGTCCCTCTCCCTCTCCTCCTCTCTCGCTTGCTCTTATTTATCTATCTCTCCTCTCTCTCCTCATCTCCTCTCCTCTCATCCTCTATCTTCCCCTCTCTTCTCGCTCACTCTCACTCTCTCTCATCTGTTTATCTATTTATTTGTCTGTCTCTATCTGTCTATCTATCTATCAACCAATCAATCAAATCTCTCTCTCTCTCTCTCTCTCTCTCTCTCTCTCTCTCTTCTCTTCTCTCTCTTCTCATCTCTCTTCTCTCTTCTCTCTTTCCTTCTCTCTCTCTTTCTCATCTTCTCTCTTCTCTCTCTTCTTCTCGTCTCTCTCTCTCTCTCTCTCTCTCTCTGCTCTCTCTCTCTTCTCTCTCTCTCTCTCTCCTCTCTTCCTTCCTTTCTTTTCCTTTCCTTCCTTTCTTTCTGTTCTTTCTTTCTCCGTTCCCTTCCCCTTCCCCTCTCTCACTCTCACTCAGAGGGCAGGCACTATGTGGAGTAACCTAGCCCACAGTCAGGATGGCTATAACCCAATACATGAAAAAAAGGAGATATGAAATCCTGTGAGGAGGATAATGGTAGGCCTACTGAAAGGACGAGAAAAAAGTAAAGAGGCAGTTGTCTGCTTCAGTGGAGGACACACCTCCCCCGCACACTCTGAGTGCGCACTTCAGACCGGACACAAAACTTCACACACGCACGACGATAAATATCGGATAGGTCTCTCAGACATTAAAATGGACCCTACAGTAAGAGGCGCATGCATCAGCAGAGCTAAAAGTTTTGGGAGAAGTAATGAATATGTAAGATGCAGGAACGAAATAATTCTTGACCAAAATAAATAAATAAATAAATAAATGGTGCAAAATGGTGAGTGCTGGAAAAGCATAGGTTTTTCGGGAAAGGAAAATATGCAAATGTCATTGTGTTCGATGTTCCAAAGGAAACTGAAACATGAAATGACAACATACAGCGGGGGTGCAAAATGCATGAAAGTTAAACGTATGGGGGGAGTAGTCCTCAAAATTTATTAAAACGGTTGAGGGCATGCCAGGTGTGCCAACTACAAACCCGACTGATTTTGTTTCTATTGCTCAAGAGGGGGGGGGGGGGGGGGTGAGCACGTACATGGCCAACGAAACTCACCACGGATGCCGCTCCTCTCACGAAAGTTCAGCGTGCGCCAGAAAAGATTTCCGAGGTTAGAAGGTTCCCCTCAGAAATTGCGTAATCTGCTGCAAAGTGCATAAATAATAAATCCTCCACTGTGTGCATACTACCCAAAATATAGGAGATAAAAGTAAAAAGTCAGGCAGCCCTTCCTCAGAAGAAGTCCATCCCAGCCCCGCCGCCTTGATTCAATGTGGGGAAGTTCCCCGTGCAACCTGCAGAAGTCAACTGTGATGGCAAGACTGGCACCTGGCATCAGTGCCCAGAAACCAACAGAAAAAAGCACATCAAGCTTCAAAGCACTACTTGGCAACTCCAACCCGAGCATCAAATCTTGCTGCAACCACCTCTGCCCAGTTCCAGCACCTAGCCGCGTTCCACCCATGCGCAGCAGACAAACAAGAGACTAACGAAGAAATAAGGATAGCTACAGAATACTGCCTGACGGCAAGAGAAGCAGTATGGTGTTTTATGATACAACAGATGGCCCAGCGATCTCGATTCCAGAAGTTGGTAACGTGTCCTCCTCGTCAATCAACAACAACCAACCTGTAGTGGGCCTTAGGAAAATGGGAAGTAAATCAATGCTATAATATATCCGTTGAAATATGTAACACATTATATTAAATATACGCTGGTCTTTGAACAATGATTAGTGATATAACAAGTTGTTATTTTTTACCAATCTTAAGATGGATCATACTAATGGTGCAGTGCGGATGACACAGCCCGTCGACATGTTAGTAACACAAATGTCTGGGATGATAGCCCTCTACATAACTAGAAAGCAAGTTTTGGATAGATGCTTTGTATCTACCTGGCTTTTTGCAGGGGGTGTTACACTGTTCTGTAAATAATTATCAAAATCGTCAATTTCTCTTCTCTCTCAAATTAAAAAACATCAATACAGCGAAAGTAAGAACGTTTGTGTCTATGATAAAAACACAAAATCACGTAAAACATTTATTAGACATACAGGAGCTTTGGCTCTTTGCTACATATACAAGCAAAAGTATAAATAAATACATGCATACCAAGCAGTCGTTAAATATATAAATAAGTCTTATGAAGGTCGTGATTTATTCTCTAAACTTATTATTAAATTTTGATATATGGAAGGGAACGGATGAATGCCTGTGTCAAAAGTGTTACATTGGTCTTTTCCGCTCAGCTTATTCACAATATCATTTCAAGCTACATTCCTATGGGTATAACTGAATCAAAGTTCATGCAAGTTGAGGCATTTTGATATTTTTTCTCATCAAAAATAGCTACTGTATCCTTGAAATAAAACTGATAAAAATACATTACTATCAAAAAATCAAAACTACATTCCCATATGCACAGATTGCAATAAAATCCAGGTTTAGGCCTTTTAAATTGTCTCCCGTTAAAAATCTACTTCGTCCACCAGACAATAATAATAATAATAAATAAAACACCACCAGCTCCCCCTTTCTATCTTTTCTTATCTTTTCTTTCTTTAAGACTTCGCTCGACCTTGACAGAGATCTTGTACAGTAGCCTCAAGGACCCCGCCATAGCCTCTCCTTGGGGTGTCCTGCCAGCCTATGACGTCACCACCATGCTCGGTGACGCACTTGCTTGCAACCAACTCCACTGCCAGCCGGTTCAGCCACGAGTCTGGTTGCTGGGGGGAAGAGGAAGAAAAATGGGGAATGAATGGATATTTATGGGGAAAAGGGGGGAAATGATGGAGATTTTGGCGATTTTGTGGGGAAAAGAGGGGAATATGATGGAGATTGAGGGGAAAGAAGGAATAATGGAGATTATTGGGGAAATATTGGAGTTTTGTGGTCGAAAGAGGGGAAATTAATGGAGGATTTATGGGGGAAATGATGGAGATTTGAGGGGAAAAGAGGGAAATGATGGAGATTTGTGGGGAAAGGAGGGAAATTAATGGAGATTTGTGGGGAAAAGAGGGGAAATAATGGAGATTTGAGGGGAAACGAGGGAAATTGATGGAATTTAGAAGGAAGAAGAGAGGGAAATGAGTGAAGATATATGGGGGACTGCGATAAAAATAAGGGGGTTATGGAGAACATGAATAATAAAGATGGAATTTGGATAATTTTTCCAACTCTTGAAATTGCAGCTAAAACGCAATTAAAAAATCCAAGAACGTACAACTGAATAAAAATAATTTTTCTAATGTTTTTACAAACTAAATGTAAATAAATATGAATAAAATAAATATAAAATTAAATGGCCCTGGTTTATTCATAAAAAACAACGCTTTTTACTGTTCAAATCACCATAACTGGAACTATCCACTGTTATGACATCTCACACGAACATTTTTTTTGCCACTCCACTCAATAGCACTCGTGTCCAGGAACAGCAGCGTGACCCAAGCACTGAACCCTGTCGTAGCACTGTCTTCCCCATTAGCAAGGTCGTTCTTGAGGTCNGAGAGAGAGATGATGAGACAGAGACTAGAAGACAGAACAGAGAGAGAGGGGACACAAGAGAGAGAGAGAGAGAGAGAAGAGAGAGAGAGAGAGAGAGAGAGAGAGAGAGACGGAGAGAGAGAGAGAGAGGAGGGAGAGAGAGAGATGAGAGAGAAATATTTTTAAGAGCAGAGGTTACCCGGTTGGGAATGCAAGTACTTTGTAATGGAAAATGGAGAAGTCAGGAATGAGGTATGTAAGGTAATCACAGAGGAACTACAATAGATAAGGAATAAATGCAGAGAACTATAACAGAACCAGCTTTTATATTGCACCATCAAAGTTGTTCTTATTATCACTATTTTTCACTATTATCTGTTATTGCTGTTGTTATACATTTTATTGTTATCCATCAATTATTGCTATTTATTATCCATTGTTGTTATTATTGTTACTATTATCATTATAATTATATTTGATTTCTTTATTATAATTGTATTATCTTATTGTTACTTTGCTGTTTATTATGTTCTTTTATTGTTATCATACATTATTGTTATTCTTTTATATCATTTGTTGTTATTGTTACTTATTATCATTATATATATTATGATTTTTATTTTAATTATAATAATTATCATTATTGTACTGTTGGTTGTTATTATCCTTTTATATTGTTATCACATCATTAATTGCTATTTATTATTATCATTGTTTGGTTATATTAGTCTATACATTTCTATTATATATTAATTATTTTTTATTATATTATTTATCCAATTATTGTTATTGTGTTATTAAATTATTACCCATCATTATTGTTATACATTATTTGCTTCTTTTTATCGTCATTAACTATATCCATTTATCATTATAATTAATTGATTAAAATCCAATACACTTTGTTATTGCAGGTATTAACATATTATCATTATCATCATCCATCATCAGTGTCAGCAACAATCAACTTTTATTTAAACCCCATTTTAATTTATAA